TAATTACTGTTATATTGCTTGTCTTGATGCTAAATTTACTGGAACTGCCAATGGTGGTCAACTGGAGGACTCCAGACTCTCACAGAGTCAGGAGGAAGGCTGGCTGACTCACATTCATCCATTTCACCTATTGATTTTTAAATCACCATAGGAATATGGTCATGCCACTGAAAATTCAGCATGTTGAAATATAACCTTTATAAGATGACACAATGCAATGCTAACATATCCGAGCATAAAGCCAAAAAAAAAAACAAACAAAAAAAAACATATCCGAGCATAAAGCCAAAAAAACAAAAACAGGAAGGTAAAACAACAGTGATAATGTCTTGGAGTAGAGTGAGAGTCCAGACCTCAATCCAACAATCCAACCAAAACCTATTTAGCATGATATCTTAATTGAGATCACTCTGATCACTTCACAGGATCATTTCTGCTGTCAAAATGCTACATTAAATCAACTCTGATCCAGTGTTGAAAGATCAATAAAACCTGGAAACAGCTGGTATTTTTATAGGTTGTTTTAAACACAAGCTGGATGCAGCGTTTTTGAATCAGTTAATAGTGATTCACATTTTAATACAGGGTGTCACTTATAATCATCATTGGTGGAAAAAATACATCTTAGGCACACTGCTGATACTAATAATATTGTTAACAGGGGAGGGTCATGCTGATAATTTATTTCCTGCTACATGTAATTGTATATTGTGATATATATATATATCTCATGATGTTGTATACTGTCTGTTTATTTTAAAAAATAACCAGACAGAAATGTTTGTTTTTGTTTATTATCATCATAAAAAACTATCTGCAACACTGACATATAGCAACTGTTGGCATATTGTTGTTGTACAGGCCTATATCGTGATATTGCCCAGCCCTATTGCAATAATAATATAAAAGACCAACATCCAATTCCCCATATTTTAACGTAGGACATATTTTCTCTTTACATTATTTAATTTTGTAAGTGTTATTTGTTGGCATTTTTGGTAGTTGTTGGCTTTATGAGGATCACTGTTCATACACTTCTTAATTTAGCACATCATTACCAATATAGTCTTGAGTAGAGAGCAGTTTCATGGCTCATGAACCTGTGTACACCCCTCTGAAACGCCCAAGCTGAATCTGGAGCTTCATGAAATCTTAATCTGCTGCACTTTAAATAAACACTAACGCAGTATATGTACAGAGAAGAAGAACAAGGCAGTGTGCCGTCAGGCGGCAACAATGACGCTCCTCAGAGAGTCTTGCAAGCAAGGCCTGTCACTGATATAAATAGTGTAAGCAGCAACATTTAGTCTCCGGAGCTGCCTCACATTCACTGACAAGAACTTGGAAAATACATCTGATTACATGCTAACATTAATGGGTCACTTCAGCATTAAACTCAGCTGTAACCTCCTCAGTTCATTTCATGATATTTACAAAAATCTAATATATTCAAGCTGTTGTAATTACAAAACAAAAAAATTCCAGTATGCACTGGGTATTGGTAACGATCAGTTTCATGATATTTATTAATCATAATCAATTCAGTCTAACTTAGCCGACCGAGGAAGTGGCATCCTCTGTTAAAGAGCTATGTGATCATTGATCATTCTTGTCATTGATACACTCCTGAGAAAAACTATGATCCACAACCACGGCGGGACCCAGCCATGTTATGTTATGTTGCAGCAATCAATGACCTTGTTATCAAATACTTTTAATGAAGCTCATTTGTCAAAAGGATATCGATGGATATAAGTTACTTACTTGTCCTGCACATCTTAATATGTTCTTTTTAGTGAAAATGGTTAGTCAAGATAGGTCATTGTCATCTTTACTACTACGAAAGCTTTTGTGTTAACAACCAAGCACCAGATGGGTAGTGTGTGTACAAGTAAATAATACTTAAATGGATTTATATTGGAGTTTTAATCTGGTAGATAATAATCTCTGTGGTCAGAATGTTTTATGGTTGCAATCATGATCATCAGTGCAAATGAGAAAATGTAATTATTAAAAACTACAACCCTGAAGAGAAAAACATGAAAAATAATCTTACTGAATATTATTATCAATGAATTAATTATTTCAAACTGTACTGCCATGCAGTCTCACATCTGCTGGGGAGGTGTCCACGTGAAAAATTCCTGTACAGATTATCACCCACTTGAGTCGACTAATTGCTTGCAGCTGAACGTCCTAATTGAGCCACAACAGTCCTAAAGCTATTTTCATAAAATCATTGTGCTCATGAATATAATGTACCAGCCAGATATAAAAACAACTCTGAGTGCCAACAGGATCCATCAAATTCAGTGAAGCCTCAATCCAATTGTCCACACTTGAAGACCACATCAATTTCAGATGTTTAAAAGTGAACACAGTTTTCCACACAAAGATTAATGCGAGTTTTCCCGCCCACTTAAATTAGTAGGCCAGGGTAATTATGGCAACAACTATTTTTGCCTCTTAAATTCTTTAATTGTGGAGACTGTGCAGTAAGAAACACTATTTTTCCCCCTACACTGTGTGTGTAGTGGGTTGCCCCACATATGGAACATTTCTGCTGGGTCTCAGCAGGAGCCAGAACACAGGCCAGAGTTTGACTTGAGAAGTGAGGGGCTCACACATCGAAGCACTGAAACAAACACTGCGTTCCAAACAGGCAAAAAATAAATAAAAAAAAAAAACTTCACCACATTTCTGGCTAAAGATAATTATTTTTGGCAGCAGAAGTATTGTTCATTACATTTGCTTTCTATTTTAGTTTATTCCTGTAAATAAACGGACAAGAGAAAAGAATCACTAATTAGTCCCATATGCAGTCTTGGGCGTTTGTCAAGCTGTCCTTGAATCTATTTCCATGACTGGACTGTTCTAAGTTTTGGTACTAATTTTGAAAACTGTATAGGAAGTAAACTGTACATCTTCAAATCTATGTATCATTTTCACATAAATAATATCAATTTGCACCACCAGTTTCCATGGCAATACACTGTAAGAATTTGCATACTCACAAAACTATTAAATATGGCACTATGTAAAAATGTGCCAGTCTCTTTTTTGCATCAGTGTGGGATTTTTTATTTTTTATTTTTTTCATCAAATGTAAAATCTTGCACCTTTTTTAACTTACACTCCTGAGGGAGGCGTTTTGTGTCACAGGACTTTTTCTTAGAATGCAAACATTTCTCTATTTGTTCTGAGAGCAATAGCTTGACACTGAAATGCTACAAACCACCTCTGAACTACAGCCTCCAGCACTCTCATGATTTGTATACGAGGAATGAACCTGAATCCTCTACAGTACAGACACCAGCGGATGAGATTTTCAGCGAGGCTGTTTGGGATTTATGGTCATGCTCCTGGTGGGTCAGTATTTGTGCATCAGTGGGCTGTTTTTGAACGAGCCAGGCCAAGGGCAGCATAATACACTGGGCCACTAGTAGGGAGCAGGCGGGCTGCAGCCTTACAAGATAGACAGCGTGAGTCAGCTATCTGACTTCATCAAATACGGCTTGACAATAAACCCCCTGAATACATGGGCTCTACTCTTTTATTTCATTATTTTTTTTATTTCCCTAGGCGACCTGCCAGAGTTGCTGACGGTCTCACACCGCCCAATATCTCTCTCTGTGGCACTCATATGTCATTCCATCCTGTGCACTTTGGCTCACATGGCATCCCTATGTGACAACTGGTCTCATGTATAAGGTCTCATGTATGCAATGTTGATGGTGGATCCCTGCTGAGATGTTCATGTACGCTGCTCCATGGGTTTGTTTTCCACTCAATCATCCTTCTTTGCACATGAGTGATAGTTACAGAGACAGTGGCTTTAAAATGTGGGACATCTCTGTGGTCAGCGATCAATCACTGGGAATTTAGGAGATATGGAGTACTTTTAAGACGGTCCTGCCAAGAGCCTGCCCTTAATATGACTAACAGGATTTACTATGGTCAAGTCAAGGAAATGCCAGTGGAAGAAGAGGTATTCAGATAATTTTATTGAGTCATTTCATACTATAAAAATAGTAAAATGTTATGCATTAAAAATTCTACTTATGTAAAACTACAAAAGTACTGGCAACACAATGTACTTACAGTATCAAAAGTAAGTGTTATTATATGTATATACAATGTACAATTGTCTCTGTCAGTATTACTGTTATATCAGTGGATTCTTTTTTGTATTATTGTGCAATAAATACATAAATAGTACGTAGTTGGTCAAAATGTCGTTAATGTGAACTATCTCCATATACTTTTGATTAGTTTAAGCTATAGCACTGCAATAACATTTATGAACTGATCTTATGTTTTGTATGTAAAATGTTAAAAAAGTATAACTGTTTAACAAATGCAGCAGAGGAAAAAACACACTATTTTACAATTGCAGTGAAGTATTCAAATGAAGTACATGTACCTAAAGAGCGTACTTATCTAAATTATTTCAATTAATAGGATAACTGATATTTTCCACCACAATTAAACACATTTTGGACTCAGCTGTCAGAATCCAAATGTCTGATGTTTATCATATAGCCTGGATTCATATTATATTACATAACCAAAAATGATTAAACTATATATACATATATATACTCAACTCAACCGATGGCTCTAACCATCGCGGGGCAATGGGGGGGGTTCCTTCGGTTTATCAGCTCTGTTTAACTTCCCAAACTCTGATGACGTTTCTAATTCTCTTTCATTCAGGTTCAGCTTTCTCGGTATTGGTGCTAACTTGAATATCTTTAATCCATACTTAGATTCAGTTTTGGTAAATCAATATGATGGCAGCCCTGCTACTTTCTTTGGTGGAAGATGCTAAGAAAGTTTTTTAAGCATGGGAAAAATGGACGGCAACAGGAGCAACCAGCCATAAAGAAATGACAGACAGGTCTGGTTGCTCAAGGCAATTAGGCAACCATCCTGTTGAGCCCTGTCACTTATTTTGGAATGATTTTCTTGGTGCTGCACAGAGATGTCTGCAGTTTTACCTTTGTGACATGATCTTGTAGGCATCTGGAAGATAGCAGTTGATATTCTCCATCTGGAAAGGGTCGGCGTCGCAGATCTTGTCATCCGTTCGACCATAGTTGGCACTTTCAATCATTATGACATCACTTCCTGGACATCGCAGATCAATGGGGTAACCCTCACAAGAAAGCTCTCTCCGTACCAAGCCAAATGGCAGAGCAGCTCGACTAAACCCTGAGGGAAGAGAGAGAGAGAGCTCAGTCAGTGTACATCAGAGGGAAATTTCCAGTTAGACTGACAAAAAAGAAGGTGGTATGAAAGACATCAGACGCAGGATATCAAAGATGAATATACACAAAAGTAGTGTTTTGTGCATGTTCACAGTGAACGCAAAACAAATCTGATATTTGCACAGTGAACCTTAGACTGTATAGCCTAGCATACATCAGTGTGTTGAGTGATTATTTCAGATCTCAAATGCAGCAGTGGTGTTATCATGTCATTATAATGTTAGTATGTCATCCCTATGCATTAGCTAGGAATTGTCATTAAAGTCTAGTTTGTCTGCTAAACTGTGTGGGGCATTGTATCCCCCTGTGACGGCCTACGCAGCCATGCTGGTACAACTGTAATGCCCAAATCTGATAGCTGATGTGATGGTTAAAAAATAACACCTTTAAGAATTTATTTTGTAATCCTTTAGTGATTTTTTAAACAGTCATCACTGTTTTTTGTCATACTGCTGTCCTGTGTTTCATTTCAATATGGGAAATGCTGTCATCGCATTGCGTATCACTAGAGACTTGTGGTTTACTTGCAGTGCTCATTTTTCTATCCAAAATGAAAAAGTACAACAAGCATCTCTACAACACAAGTGTAATTTAATCTACTTTGCAGCGCTGACGATCGAAGGGAGAGCTATCGGGAGGCTGGAAAAAAAAAGAGAAAAGTTTCTTTGTGTATATGTGTGTGTGTGTTTGTTTGTCAGAGAGGGTGAAGGGTTAGAAAAAAAACAGAAAAGAAATCAATATTGTGGCTTTGCATATTTGAACAATGCCAAAAGCCATACTTACACTAAAAGTGAACTACATACACTATATAAACCATATGCATCCCTATTTTTGCTCAGAACAGCTTTCTACAGCTATGACATGCCAGGTATTAGAGGACAATGGCATAAAGCTTAAAACACTGCCAGCGGACACTCTGTAGACTTTAAATGAACCACTGGCTGCACTGAATAATCACCACATGCAGTGATGCTTTTTTTTTTAGATATTACACTTTATTAATGCCTTTTTGGGAATTTTCTTACTGATGGTGGTGCAGTCAGTCACTGCCTGGCCACCAGGGGCAACTAGGGGTTCAGTGTTTTGCCCAAGGACACGTCAACATGGGGAGACCGGGAATCGAATCACGAACCACCTCTGATTAAAAGACAACCACTCCACCTCCTGCGACACAGCCGGCCCCCTTTAAATAACAGTGGTTTTATCTGATTCTTGGTTGACGGGTGTATTATTAGTGTTTCAAAGCCTCTATTTCCCTAATGAGGTTTAGTTCATAGTCACAGGAGAAAGCCATAAAAAACAGAATGTTCTTCTTACGGACTAATATGATTGGTACCTGGGCAAGTCAGACCCATATGTGTGCAGTTGTTTATAATTACGAGGCACCTTTTCTCTTCATGACTCTTCCAGTGTGATGATTTTTGTGTGGCAACAGTTTACTTGAACCTATTGACTTCAGCTCCGCTAAATTGGCCCAGAAAGGCTGAGTTCATGTTACCCTATTGGATGTTTCATCAATTAACTTCCAATACAATTATCTTAGTCTGATTAAATGCTATGCTACAAATGGCAGGGGATTAGCATTCTGTATTATGCCCTTCGCCAGGAAACGCTACTGTGGTATTTTACAAAGGAAGATAAATGTCAGTTTGTATTGCCTGATTCTCCATTTGTGCACTAATCAGGTGAACATCCTATTTCTAAAGGTGCTCAGTGAAGAGCTCAGAGTAAACAAAGGATCTATCTGTATTTAGGAGGGCTGTTGCTCTGGCCTATCTAACCTCTACAAGACTTTATTTGCTTGGGAGCATACAATCATAGGGGAAGGATCTTTTCTCCTCCACTTGCTCTTTTTGACAGCAAGCTTTCTCATGTGACCGATAGGCATGAAAAAGTAAAGGCTTTCAAATATGATAGGTTTCAGCCATATTTCATTTTTGTAGCCCTTTTGTCTCTGGAGCCAAAAAGAAACGCTTAAGGTGATAAACAATTTATCAGAGATGTTGAGAGAAAAAGCCCAAGTGGAAAAAATGAAAACACGACATGCTCAGAACAGGACCTGACAGCCAATCTCGGGTTCATGTCAATGTACTCCAGTATAGCTCCATCAAAAGTCAGCAGTGCAATGTGTAGTAGCTATAAGAACCAATGTAAAACGTCAGTCAATGCCACATTACAATTTTTATGCTCAAAATGTGACATAAAAATGGCAGATGTTTAATGGGGCCTTGTCTGTTGTGTTTCTCTTGTTGTATCAAAAATTAAAGAGACTTTTGAATTGTCTGCATATGATGCAAATGTGATATGCATTTTAAAAGAAAGTCCAAAAAATAAAAAAAAAGCTATTATGCCACTATATAAGAAGAGGAAAATGACATATTATGTTCTGTTATATTGCTGAGACTGGACTGAATCCTAGCTTTCCTACTCACATAGACTTCACATGGATCACTTTGGCAGCAGTTACGTATGGCTGGGTGGGAGCCATTAGCTTGCACTAGCCGGCTTTGTGGCTGGAAGTGATCTGGTTCTTTGGCCATGACCAAGACCTCTGAGTCTGAGCTCCAAATCTGCTGCCAAACCCACTGATGCTCTGCGTCCCAGGAATTCTGTTAAAATACTTAAATCACTCTGCAACGCCAAACTCTGGTTTTATGATTTAAAACTAATGCGGTCTCTCTGCTTAAGTAGAAAAACAGAGGCCGGAGCGACAA